ACCAAGAACACAGATGAAGTGGGAGGTGCCAGCGAAAGGGTCTGCACGGAACCACAGAATTATGGCTCCTTAGAGCAGGGAGTACCTCGGGGTCATCTAATCTATTTTCTCATTCTTCAGAGGGGGGAACTGAGCCCAAGAGAGGAAAGATGAGTTGTCCGTGGTCACACAGTGCATTAGTCTGTTTTATGTTGCTATAAAGGACTGCCCGAGGCTGGGTAATTAATAAAGAAAAGAGGTTTACTGTGGCTCATGGATTTGCACTGTGCCGGCCACTGCTGGGATTCTGGTGAGGCCTCAGTGAGCTTACAATCATGGCATAAGGCGGAGAGAAAGCAGGCATGTCACATGGTGAGAGTGGGAACAAGAGGGAGGGAAGGAGGTGCTGGGCTCTTTTAAACAACCAGCTCTCTATCTGAACTCATACGGCAAGCACTCACTCATTTCCACGAGAACCACACTAAGCCATTCATGCGGGATTCATCCTCGTCATCCAGTCACCTCCCACTAGGCTTCACCTCCAACATTGGGGATCACATTTCAACTTGAGATTTGAAGGGAACAACCATCCAAACTATATCACACAGTAAGGGAATTATTGAGTCACTAACAAGCACTTATTGACCACCTACTATATGCTAAGATCTGGGCTAGGCCAGGAACAAGGAAGACGCAGCCCTTGTCCTTTGGAGTTCCAGCTGTGACTGGCGGGTCCCAACCCTGGTTACACTTTAGAATCACCTGGAAAGCTTTAAGAAAAAGCCCAGTGTCAGGGCTTCACCCCTAGAGATTCGGATTTACTTGGTCTGGGGTGAGCCCAGGTGCGGGCCTTTCTTAAAACAAGCTCTTCAAGGGATTCTAATGTTCTAATGTGCAACCAGGTTGAGAACCACCAGGCTAAGGGGGAGAGACAGACAAAAACCTAGTAGACACTCATGAACACATGGTTGCAATCCATGCTTTGTTAGGAATGAACAGGATGCTGAGTGAGGAAACGGGTGGAAAGGGGGTGGGAGGGTTGGGGTATCTGTTATCTACTCTAAATCTGAAGCGAGTGAGGCTGCACTGGGAGAGCTGGATTCCAGGGCTCAGAAGGTAGAAGGTAGAAGTTAGGATGTCCTCATAGGGCTCAGAAGGTAGGGTGTCCTCATAGGGTACAGCAGTCAGATCTTCTGGGACACATCGTCCCACCCTGCAGATCTGTAAAACCCTGCAGTGAGCCTTGTCTAGCAGAGGCATGCAGACTGCAACCTGAAATATCTCCCCCCACTCCTTATGCTAACCCCCCACTTACACACAGTTTATGAATGCCCTCCAGGCCAGCCAGCATAACAATCCCTCACATTTTTAGAACAGTTGCTAAAGCAAAATCCCACTTATTATCTGTATCTGTAAACACTAACTCCATGAAGCAGGCGAGGTCAAGATCAATAGTCTCATGTTAAAGATGCAGAAACAAGCTCAGAGAAGTCGTGTGATCAGCCTGGGATCACACAGCTAATAACTGGATGTGGGAGACTTCAGGCCAGCTTGCTGGCCTCACAGAGGCAGGGTGGGGACATCTGAGAGGCAGATGGGAACACCGCCCTGGCACCAGCACCCTCTGTCAAGCTGGGCAGCACTGCTGATGCACCCTCCCTTCAGCTCAGATGGCATACAATCCCGTTCCCCATCAGGCAATCACAGGAATCTGTTACTCGTTGCTTCAATTCCTGCCCAGAGTGAACCCAGTTACTATAGCAACTGGATGCGGCTCTTTATTACAGAGTAGATGGTGTTAATTTTGTATTTGAAGAGTTTGGCCAGGCAGCCACGTTGCCATGGCTTGGCCTGTGGGGCAGCAGTTAGAAGCAGAGGGAACCCTTTGAGCAGCCATTAGGTCTTTCTAATCGTTGGGGGGAAACCTGTGTCTGGAAAAAACCCAGGCTCGGCTGCACTGGAGAGGAGGAGGGGTAGTCTCCAGCTGGTGTGCTAGGCCCCTCTCTCTGGTGCAGAGATGACACCTTCCTGATTTGAGACACCAGGTGAGGTTGGGCCTGTTAGCCTGTTCTGTACAATCCTGAATCCTCAGCCCCCTCACCCCTCAAAGATAGAGGGCCTTCAACACATGTTTGTTGAATGAATGAATGAACAAGTGGTCTTTCACCATTTATGAAACCCTTCCAACCCATCTTCTCTTTTACTCCCCAGTATGGCTCTGTAAGTTGCAGAGCAGGAAGCAGGAGAAACTGAGGCTCATCAGGGTTAGAGACTTGCCCCACTATGATGCTTCACGCGTTTTCACCCACTGCCCTTGCCTCTCAGGTCCCACTGAGTTGCCTGGAATATGTCCCTTGCTGCAGACAGCTATAACAGGGAGACACAAAAAGCAAGGTAACCAGGGGACCCCTACCCTAGGCCTGGCACCATCGGTCCTCTCCTGGATCCTCAGTTCCTGGTGAACTATAAGGAAGGCAGTGAGTGAGGGGGATAAGAGAAGGCTCTTGGTGGCTAACTTCAAAATGGAGCAGAAACTGCCTTTGGCCCAGCCTGTCGAGGAAGCAGAGGGCAGACCAGGAAAGGGCCCCTCATTCCCTAACCTCTTAGTGTGGGTGGGAGGGAAGGCAAGCTTAATTCAGTCTTCATTCAGTAGCACCCCCCTTAATCTATGCTGACCCAGCCTCTCTGTTGCTTTCTCTGTGCTGAGGATGCGTTTCCAGGCTAAATAAAACTTCTTCCACCCAGCCCTTGCCCCAATGTTCATTTGTTTCTACTCAGACTAGTTTCCTTCTACTCTTGCTGCTCAGGACTTCCTGGGGTTCAGGGGCTGCTCCCTGGCCAGCGTGTGCCAACGTGGGTGCCCTTCGTCCTGGGCTCACGTTAGGCCCCAGGACCTGCCCTCCTGCTCCTTCAAGGCCACATGAGCAGCCTTGAGAGCACAGAGTGCAGGCTGCAGTCCCGAGTGGGGTGTGTGTGGGGAGAGCTGGGACAGGTGACCGGCAGAGCTGCTGGAGGACCCACTGCCTCTCAGAAGTGAGGTACACACCTGCATGGGGGCCCTGTACCCAACATGTGCCCCGATCTCAGGCCTTACCCTCCAAGCGTCAGAACCATAGGAATGTCCGAGCTGGACGGGACCGTCAATACTTCTCATCCCACAAAGGGGAACTGGAGATGGAAGCCACAGAGGGGAGGGATATGACGTCCCTTTCGCAGTCATTAACGTGGTGTGGCCCCACAGTGGGACCTTCTTAAGGACAAGGCTAACCCTTTCACATATGTGAATCCCAGCACCGGGGACAGGCTGGGTACACAGTAGGTGCTCAGTAAATGCTTGTTTGAACAGGTATCCTTGTGATGTGACAGCAGAATCTCAAGGTTTGCAGAAGTTAGGCTAGACGTCATGGAGCCCAGCTCTTATGTTGCACAAAGACCAAGACCACATCCATGAACGATGCTGACAATAAGAACAACTTGTACTTCCATGATGAGAGCTGGGTGCCAGGCAGGGTTCTACGCACACTGCATGTCCTAACGCATTGTAGCCTCATGGCATCCTCTATGCAACAGGTATTCTCATCATCCCCAGGTGGGGAAACTGAGGCTTAGAGAGGCCCAGGAACCTGCCTGAGATCACAGAGCTGGCTAGTGTGAGCATTGGACAGTCCGGCTCCAGAGTCCCTGCTGGGAACACTTCACCCCGCTGTCTGAGGGCAACAGACTGCCAGCAAACCCTTGCTGTCCCTGCTTGGAGTGGGGTGCAGGGACTTGTGCCAGGTCTTATGAGTTTACTCATGTAGGAAGTAGGACTTTTCATCTCCATGCCCCCCTCCCGCGCTCGACTTGGGGCTGGCAGGGGCTCAGGGATGTGTTTTTAATACAAACAAGCTCTATCTCATCATCGTGAAACAGCCAGTTTGGTGAGGTGGGTGGGAGGACTGGCACCTTCATCAGGAAAGGATTTTGGGAAGTGTGCCGTAGGAAACCAACCCAACTGTTTTCTCCTCCTGCTGTCCTGGCTCAACACAGAACACCTGTGGTCAGCAAAATGTTGGGGGAGGGCGGGTGTTTCCCACACTCCAAGCAGTTCTCCAGTGGACACCAACTGGGAGTTCTAGAATTCAATTCAACTCTGACACCATCCCACAGGTGGAGGGCTCTGTCCCACAACACTGCCCCCCACACAATGCCAGTCACTAGCCCTGGGTTGTTTTACCTGTGCCTCTGGCCAACTGGCTGTAACTCAGGGGTTCCCATGACTCCCTTCTTGGGTTTGATTAATTTGCTGGAGCAGCTTGCAGAACTCAGGGAAACGCATTTGCTGGTTCCTTAGAAAGAAGGTTACAAAGGATGCAGATGAGCTGCCAGACAGGAGGGTTGCAGGGGGCAAGGTCTATAGGAAGGGGGCACAAAACTTCCATGCCTTCCACGAGCACCTCCGGGTGTTCAGCTGTCTGAAAGTTCATCTCCACCCTGTCCTTCTGGGTTTTTATGGAGGCTTCATTACATAGGCACAATTGGTTAAATCATTGGCTGTTGGTGAACAACTCAAACTTCAGGCCCCTTCCCTTCCCAGGAGGGTAGGTGGTGGGTCTGAAAATTCCAGCCCTCTCATCACCAGGTTGGCTTCCTGGCATCCAGCACACATTCGCCCGTCCTGAGGTGACCCAGGCGCCCCCGGCCACCAGCATCTCATCAGCATACAAAAGACACAACACTCTGGAATTTCCTAGGGTTTGGGGGAACTGTGCCGAAACCAGGATGAAGACCAAATATATTATTCTTATGATAAATCACTATATCTCAAGAAGCAATTTATCGAGGAGGAAAATGAAGCCCCAAGAGTGAGGGTCTTAGCCAGGGCCTCCCCACCCCTCATCCAGGCTCTCCCCACCCAGTGAGGCCTCCAAAGAGCATACAGAGATGCTCAGGCTGACCTGCCCTGGCCTGCCCGTCCTCCCTCGGCCCTGCTGGGTGCCTCCAGGGCCTGGCCACACTAATGGGCTCTCTGCTCCCGCCAGCTCTTCGTGATCGACAACGGCGCGGACGACTGGCGGATAGCCATGACCTACGAACGCATCCTCTACATCAGCCTGGAGATGCTGGTGTGCGCCATCCACCCCATCCCCGGCGAGTACAAGTTCTTCTGGACGGCGCGCCTGGCCTTCTCCTACACGCCCTCCCGGGCGGAGGCCGACGTGGACATCATCCTGTCCATCCCCATGTTCCTGCGCCTGTACCTGATTGCCCGCGTCATGCTGCTGCACAGCAAGCTCTTCACCGATGCCTCGTCCCGCAGCATCGGGGCCCTCAACAAGATCAACTTCAACACTCGCTTCGTCATGAAGACGCTCATGACCATCTGCCCCGGCACCGTGCTGCTCGTGTTCAGCATCTCGCTGTGGATCATCGCAGCATGGACCGTCCGCGTCTGTGAAAGGTATTTTCGCCACTCCTGTTGTCCTTTCCACCTGGGCCCTGTGTGTAGAACCCGGGGCTGGGACTGGGACGGGGGGTGGGGTCGGGGGGAGCAGGGTTGCCAGGAAGTGTGTGGTCTGATGGAGGAGACAGGTGTGTGTCCAAGCACCTTAATTAAAGGACAAGGTGGGAGAGAGGGGAGGGTTGAGTCAGGACTGAAAGGGAGCTGTAACCTTGAAACGTTGGAAGCAAAGTAAGGAGTGGGGCAAGCATGGAATATTTCTGATTTCCTGTTTCCTCTTCGTAAATCAGTATATCAAAGCATCCTGGTTACATCATTAACTCATGTGTAAGTAACACTATGCAATTTCTCCCTCTTAAGGATTAATGATGCTTATTAGCATTTTAAAGGCTCCGAGAAGTCCTGCAGTAGTGAAACTGGTTTATATTCGTTGAGTTTAAGATTTTTCAAAAGTATTTGCTCACAAATTCTTTTTATTGTAAAACACTGTTGATACCTTGCTACTCAGTTTGGTTTGCAGACCAGCAGCATCAGCACCAGAGGGAACTTGTTAGAATGCAGAATCTCAGACCCCAGAACTCCTGAATCAGAATTTGCGTTTTAGCAAGTTCACCTGGTTATTCACAGGCACCTTCAAGTAGGAAAACTCTTAACTGATAGAACATACTTTGGGAAACATTGTTTTAGGAGGTTAGTGGCTGGCCTCTTCAGTGAAGCAGCAGATGGGAGAAAACGGAGATGCAGTCCAATAGAGACCAGGGTTCTAGACCATAATGCCAGCAGCTCCTCAGAACAGCCACGTCAAGGCTCAAGTGTATGGCTGCAGCTACCTCCTTCTACCAGCGCCCTTGGGCTGCCCTTTGTGACACTTGCCCTTGCAAACTGGCCCTGGACATGCACTGTGATCTGATTTCACATGTGGAGTCTGCATCTAGATTAGAAACCTTGATTCTGCCCCTAAGTTGCTGTGAGATCTAGGGCAAGTTATTTAACCTCTCTGTGCCTCATTTTTCTCATTTTAAAGATTGAGATAGAATGAAGACATATTTCCTTGAGAGAGATTATTTATCACTTTTGGAGGTGTGTCAAGCATCCTATAAAATGTACACAGATCCTGGTAGTCACTCTTAAATCATCACACTGAACAATTGTTTTGTTTGTTTGTTTTTTGAGTTGGAGTCTCACTCTGTCACCCAGACTGGAGTACAGTGGCCGCTCCCGGCCACCGCAACCTCGACCCGCTGGGCTCTGGTGATCCTTCCGCCTCAGCCTTCCGCACTGAACAATTGTTAGTGCCCAGTCTTCCATGCACCAGGGTCCTGGCAGAGATAAAACAAGACAAGAAAGTCTGGAGAAGAGTTAGCCCAAACATATCCCACATGGTGCCTTGAACCATATTTTCCACCTATTTTGAGATGCTCTGTTTGCAGGCATGACTTTCAGAATTTTGGTCACAGGCACACGGTCAAACTCAGAGGAGCAGAACACGGGCCCCTGAGGATGGTGGAGCGGTCTGAGAGCCAGTGCAGTGTTGGAAGACTTTTCTCACATACAGAGCCCTGGGGACACACCATCCCTACCTATTCAGAGACCGCTATTCCTCAGCGCTGCCACTGCGCCATCTGCTCTGAGTGGGATCACACTGTGCGGTGCTGCCTGAGCCTTCTCTGGTAGCACCCCCTCCTCCTGCAATGGAGAAAGCGTGTGCTTGGGCTCCAGCCCCAGACTCCTCATAGCAGTCTTGGTTGAGCCACGTCGTGCCTGTCACTTACCTCTCTGAACCTCAGTTTTCTCATCTGCAAGCTGGGTAGTAATCCCTCCTTCACAGGATTTATTGTTCGACCCACACGAGGTAATGTGTATGGACTGTGTATTGCAATTCACTGATAGTGAAAATTAGTAACCATAGCAGCAGTCCCTTGGTAACTCCTGGGGAAAAAACCAGCTTTCATACGTTGGCCTACATTCTTCCTGTTTTCCTGTCTCATTGATGGGAGCCAAGCGTTCTATAAACAATAATACTTGAATTTGCATAGCCCTTTAAGGTTTTTGAAGTTTTCCATGTCCTCAAATCAACTGTCTGGCATATATTTTAGATGAGTAGACAGGCTGAACACACAACAAAGTACCTGCAAGTGCATTTCATTTTTTACTGAACCGATCACAAGTATGAGAGATTCTATTTTTTATTGGGAAATAAGAGTGTTTCAAAGTGTGTAGTTTGCAAAGAACTCCATTACACATCTTTTTTTTCTTTTTTTCTGGTTGGGGGTCTCACTCTGTTGCCCAGGCTGGAGTGCTGTGGCATGATCAAGGCTTGCCATAGTCTCAACCTCCTAGGCTCAAGTCGTCCTCCTTCCTCAGCCTTCTGAGCAGCTGGGACTACAGATGCACACCACCATGCCTGGCTAATTTTTTAAAATTTTTGCAGAGATGAAGTCTCTCTGTGTTGCCCAGTCTGGTCTCGAATTCCTGGGCTCAAGCAATCCTCCCACTTCAGCCTCCCAAAGTGCTGGGATTACAGGCGTGAGCCACCTTGCTGGCCTTGGTTGATTTTCTTTGATACTGAATGGTTTTTCATAGCTTTCAAGCGAGGCTGGGTTAGCCTGGCCCCTGGCAGGACACTGGGTCTCTCTCTCTGTAGACATGACTCACAAGCTCAGCTAAAGACCAAGGCTCAGAGAAACAATGAGCAAATCAGAAATGCCCCTAAAGTTCCCTTCTCTTGTAAAAAGGTCATTTGCCGAAAAGCATCTGCTTGAATACAGCATGACAGGTATTAGCGCATGTGGGTCTGATCACTGCATCTGTTCCATGGGACCTTGCCCTGAGCTCATTCTGTATAAAAAGCTTGGATGTGATCCCAGCTTGCCTTCACTATAGACTTTTGATGGACGTACCTTGACTATCCCCATCTTAGAGTTGAGGAAACTGGCCTGAAGTTCACAGAGCTTTTGAGTGTGGAGCCAAAATCTGACTCTGATTCTGACTCTGAACTTTACGTTAGTGTCACCAACTCTGGGTGAATCCTGCACTTAGGAGACTCTCTTGGTAACTTTCCCAATCTGAGAGTCTCAAGGCCACTGAATCTGACACTTAAATCCCAGCTGTGATGCTGTGCCTGCCTGCACTGCCTATGGCCTTGACCATTTTATCAAGCTGTCTCCTGGGCTGACGTCATGTTCGATTCGAACACCTCTGTGTGGAGTGGGTACTGTGTTTTGTCACTCAGCTGCACCCTCCAGGGCCCAGGCTTTCATTCCCTCAGCTGGGACTGTGTTGGTTGTGGCTGGGTACCTCTTCAGGAATTGCCCCGACTGACAGGAGTTGCCTTGCTCAAGGTCAAGTCCTTTGCCCAGGGCCAGCAAGCATCTAGTGACTTGTCAGTGTAAGTGAGGCCCAGGTCCCCAGTAGGACAACCCTGCAGAGCTCCAGGTCCCCGAGGGATCACCTGAGGTCTCTGATGCCACTGCTTCCAGTCCTGCTTCCCTTATACCCCAGGGATGCTGATCCCGAGAGCATCCCACACTCAAAGACTCCCACTGCCAAATCTGAGTCTCAGAGACTTTTTCTCAGGAATCTGACCTATGGAACTGTGAAAACATGCATGAGTAAGTAGGTTTTTTCCTAAACAGGCAAAGCACTTCTCCTACAAAGACTAAGCAATTTCTTTCAGACTCAAGCCTAAATGATCATTGCCTTTCCCCACTGTCAAATAATAGTATGACTGGCTGAGCTTAGTGGCTTATGCTTGTAATCCCAGCACTTTGGGAGACTGAGGTAGGTAGATTGCCTGAGCCCAGGAGTTCAAGATCCGCCTGGACAACATAGAGAGACCCCACCTCTATAGTAGATCAAAAGTTTAGCCGGGTGTGGCGACGCATGCCTGTGTAGTCTCAACTACTTAGGAGGCTAGGGCAAAAGAATTGCCCGAGCAACCAGGAACTTGAGGCTCCAGTAGCTGTGATTGTGCCACTGTGCTCCCAGCCTGGACAACAGAGTGAGGCTTTGACTTAAACAACAACCAAAAAAAGCATGGTCAGCAGAGACCTTGAGACAGGAATCATTCAGCCAAAGACTGGACAGAAACTGGAAGCAGGGGGTTCTTGGAGGGACTGAAGTATCAGACCAGATGGGAAGATAGTGTGAACAAAAGGACCTCTCCGTCCCTAGTGACAGAGAGGGTAAGTGACTTGCCTAGGGTCACACAGCAGCATGACATGTTCCAGAAAAACCCACAGCTGCTGCTGCCCGAAACAGGGCTCCTTCACATCCCAGGCGGCTCTCGTCAGCCCAGACTTATCTCTAGCTGTGTACACACACTTCTGAAGTTGCTATGGAAATCCCTCTTCAGCAAGACACATTTTAAAAGACATTTCTCATATCTTGGACTGGCTTTTATGTGACAATAAAGGTTTTCCACGTTTCCTCCTCCTGAGGAGGGAGAGGGAGTCGTCAGGACGCAGAACAGCCATGCTGTCGGGAGGGCAGCACCCGGTTGCCGGGAGGGCAGTGACAACAGCAGGCTTGTTTTCCTTGGACCCCAGCGAGGCATTACATCATGGGTTCCGAGGCCTGACAGCTGTGGCATTCAGCATTCTCTGGGATTCTCCTGGCTGCATGCCCGCCTCCCACAGGCCTCCCAGGGAGGAACCTCCGTATTATACGCTGTCAAACGCCCAGCAGTCTGCTGGTGGAGAGACTGTCTGAGGCCCCAGGTCCTCACCATGGCAGCAGGTTGGGGAAGTCAGCCTTCCTGGGCAATGGTGCACCAGCTCACGTTTGATGTTTCTCTCCTTGGGAGGAACAACCGGGCTTTCCCACCATGTTGATAAAGCAGGCTGAGTCCTGCTGTGTAAATGACCTTCCAACCTCTGGAGCAGATCACTTTGGACTTCTCCCTCCTGAGGCTCCAAATTCTGCACATACTGTTCCAGTGCCACCGGTCTTCTAGCCTGGTTTTTGGTTGTGATGGTGTGAATTTTCATTTTCTGCAAACT